TGGTCTGGAAGTTCTGCCGGAACCCCTTCAGCATCCCAGCACACTCGCGTCTCCACTGACAAACGAGTGAGGCTGCGCCTTCAGTGCATCGGCCAGAAATCCAACCCAGGTCTCCTGAGTGGAAGGCAAGAACCCCACCTTCGAGCCACCGCTGGGACAGAATGCACTGTGCCCCAGTTGGCTGCACACAGGAGAATATCAGTGCCTGTCCCAGCACCCCACTGGGCCTCCAGAACAGAGCAAGCCCCCCACCCCAGCTTGGTTCGGTCCACTCTCCTGTCCTCAAGCTTGGGTCCAGAGCTGACCACGGCCTGTGATCACCCAATTCACCGTCTCATCTGACGTTCAACCCCACAGGTCTCAGGACACCTCCTCAGCTAAATGGTGCTGGTTACAATCACCCCTTAGCACTCAGAGGAGCCCCCACCCCTGGAGTCCCCAATCACTGTGGGTCACGTGCACCCTCGTCTTTACATTGATATCGCTGCTCTTGCTTTAGAGAGGTCGTGGGCAGCAGGTTTGCCCAACGCAGTGAGTCATTTGCCCTCCTGACGGCTGCTCCCATGAGCATTGATGGTGGATCCGAGTCAAAGAAATCCTTGACCCCGTCCATCTTTTCTCTTTATGGTGGGAGTGTTGATGGGTCTAGTTGTGAAAGGGGGGTTCGTTTCTTCACGTCGAGTTGTTATTGTTAGTTGCCATCGGATCGGCCGCTTCTCGTGGCAACTCCTGACTAATGGAACAAAGCATTGCCAAGCCCTGTGCCCCCGTCATGACCGGAATGGCTTTGAGCCTTTTGTTGTGGCTGTAATGTCGGTCCAGCCCACTGAGGGTCTCCCTGGGTTTGCTGACTCTCTAGGGTCATTTGGAAGGACGCTTTCGGCTCCTGTAAAGAGTTACTGTCTCGGACACCCACAGGGACAGTTCTCCCCCATCCTGTAGGGTTGCAAAGAGTCGAGATCGACTCGGGGGCAGTGAGGGAGAGCTGTGAGTATTTGAAGTCCGTACTTTATCCACATGCCCATGGTCTTTCCCGGATGCCCTTCTTCTGTTCCAGGGTCCCCTCCGGCATGCCCACGCCATTCATGCCCATGTCTCCCTCCCCTCCCCTTAGTTCAGGCAGTTTCTCAGACTTCCCTTGTTTGTGATGACTTCGACGTTTTGGGAGTTCCCAGGTCAAGTATTTTGTATGAGACCCCTTGTCTTAGGCTGGGTTCTCTAGAGAAACTAGTGGCAGCTGTTTATGTATCTACAGAGTGAAATGAATACCAAGAAAACGACTCACACCGTTATTAAAGCAGGCCAGTTCATGGGTCAGATGGTAGGTGAGCGGTTTCTCGTGACTCAGGTATAGCTGTGGGGGCTGATACATACAAGATCAGCCAGGAAGACTCTACAGGCTGCAGAGGCACATGACTCCTAGGTTGACAGGTCAGATGGCAGGTCACTCCTGATTCCCAGGATAGGCAGACAATATGGCAGGCCCCGTGCTCAAGTCCGAAGAACCAGAGGTCGCTGAGCCAGAGGTAGGACTGACCCAAGCCCAGCAACAAAGCAAGCTTTTCCACAGCACCAACAAGTCCTTTCCATGCTGGGAATCTCTCGGACTTCCTCTTCTCGTGTGATTACATTGGCACACCCAGATTGTCCAGCAGGACCTCTTCCTTGTAAAGTCAACCGATTAGTTCCTTTAATTGTACCTGCAAACTCAACTGCTGGATCAGGTGGCATCTTCACAGATGTGCTGCCTCGTCATCATCCCAGGGCTTAGGATCTTCTTGGGGACCTGAATTCTGCCGACCACGAGTGAGGCTGCATTGGCTTTTTATACATTAATATGCCTGGGACTCACCTGCAGAGCATGTTAAAATTCTGATTCTGTGTATACATTTCACAATATCTTCCCAATAGCTCCCAAGCACTGCTGGTGCTGCTGGCCAATGAAGCCCACCTGGCATGGCCCAGGTCAGGCCTACAGCAGATTTTTAGTACAGGAGACCAGTGGTTTCAAATATTCAGGAGCATCCAAATCACTGGGAGATGGGTTAAAATGGAGATTCCCAAGCCTCCTCTTCTCCAGAGTTTCTGACTCAGAACATGTGTGGTGGTGCCTGTGCCTTTTCATCTCAAACAAGCTCCCAGGTGATGCTGATGCTGATGCTGCTGGCCCAGAGACCACATCTGGAGAGTCACTGCCCTAAACTATGAGACGGCAGTCCCTTTGCCTGTGTGAAGTGAGAGGAGCCCTTACACCTTGTGGCCGTGAAGCATCATCTTTTCCAGATTGTGTGTCTTGTCTCAGAGGTGACCTTTTGCCCTCTGGTGATCTAACACTCACTCTTGCCTCTCTCAACCTCCATTCTTTGTGAGTCCGGGTAGCCTAGAGGATACACATTCAGGACATCCGTATGTGTGTAAGAGAGAGCTTTAGATCAAAGAGTAATTGTAAATTAAGAACACATCTCAGCCCAATCCAGATCAAGTCCATAAGTCCGATATTAGCCCATATATCCGATACTAGTCTATAAATTCCTCTTCAGACTCACACAACACAAGCAATGATGCCAATTGCAGGAAGATCACGGACCAGTTGATAAAAAGTCTTATGGATCCAGTGGCGGTGGAAGCATCTCCAGGGCTCTGGCTGCCATCAGCGTGGCTCCATATGACTTTTCAGCAGCAAAAACAACCCAGCTTTGGAGGGTAGGGCGGGGTGGGGGTGAGGAAGTTCCCAGAATCCTCATGAGAAGGCCAGGCACACACAGAGGCATCATTGGCTGTGACCTGATTGGCAGGCTAGACTCCACCCCTTCGCTCCTCATACCCCAAGTTGACATGCGATTATGTCAGTACCACGGCTGTCATCCTCTCCCCCTGGGCTGAGCTGTGTCCTCCAGCAGTTCTGGAGCCACTGATGTCACTTGGTGGCAGTTGTTGTTAGGGGTCAAGTCCATGCGGACTCACAGCGACCCACTGTACAGCACAGCAGGACACTCTCCTGAGTAGTCCCAGTCCATCTTTTAAAATTAAAAATTAGGTTAAGCATGGCTGCTAGCAAAGCAATGCTGCTTCACTGGGAAAAAATGGGCTAAAGCAGAAACTAGAAAACTCCATGACCCAGCTGCTGGTGTATCGACCCTGGGGCATGGCCGCCCGTGTGCTGGGGACAGAAATGCTGCCCAGTCCAGCACCAGGCCCAGGACCGCGCGTGGATCAGACCATTGTGGCCACTGCATTGCTCTTGGCTGCGTTGGGGAAGCAGATCGCCAGGCCTTACCTACTAGTCCATCTTGGTCTAGAAGCACCACCCAAAGGTGTGCCGCATCCTAGCACACACAGGCCTCTCCTGACAGACAGGTGCTGACTGTGCAGGAGGTGTGCAGGGAGCAAGGACCAAACCTGGATCTCCAGCATGGAGGGTGACACCCCCACCCTGCAGGCTCCCAAAGATAGCACCTCTGTTTGCCAGGCCTTTCCTATACTGATTCCTTTATCTGAACACCTAGACGCAGGAGTTTAGTTCTCAAAACGGACATGCAGAACTCGGGCCGTCACCTCCTTGCCTTACTTAAAAGATCGTAAATGTCTTCACATCTGTCCCACCCCTCTTTCAAGACCCTGGTTCCAACCTTTTTCCCAGTGAAAAAGCAACCAAATGCTATGATTCCTGCCCTTCCTGTTGCATACCTGTGTTGGAGGCAGTTAAGAAACAGGCATGGGTCCAAACGGAAGGGCAGGAAAGACAAGGTGGGGTCTGTCAGAAGCAGGTGGTTCCATCCTGCACCCATTGGTAGGCAGTTGCAGGTGTTGTTGACAGTCTGTGTCCCCCAATGTGGAGCAAGTGACTCAGCTGAGCCCTCCTGGATCCGGAAGTGGCCGGGCCCCCCGTGTCACTGACTCTGGGGCACGTGGGCCACCCCAGAAGAGGAGAGAGGCCCGAGAGGGAGGGCTCACGCTGCTATTTTCAGCATAATTAGTGGCTCCCAGAATTGGGGAGTATTGAAAAAGGTGTCATTTGTGGAAGGCAGGAAGCTTACCTTCTAACCGACAAGCTACAAAAATCTGCCTCCTCCTACATACGGAGTGATCCGGGCAGAAAACGCGGCGGCAGCTGGTGTGGGCTCTGCCTGGGGGGGCCCAGGCATCAGCACAGGGGTGTGCTCCAGAGGAGTTTTGACGGCTGAGTCTGTCTGTGGCAGTAGCTCTCCAGGCCTTTCTTCCAAGGCACTTCTAGGTGGGCTCGAACCCCTAGCCTTGCAGTCAGCAGCCAAGCAAGTTCAGCGTTTGTACCACCCAGGGACTCAGAGAGAGAAAGCCAGAAAACAAATAAGCAGACCCACTGCCACTGAGTCCTTTCCAAGTCCTAAGGATCCGCCCTGGGGTTTCTGAGACGGTAAGTCTTCATGACAGCAGACGGCCTCAACGTTTTCCTCTGGAGCAGTTAATGGACCTGAACCACTGACCTTATAGTTACCATACCAGTGCATAACCCACACCACCACCAGGGCTCCTTCCAGGGGGAGAACCCAACTCAAAACTCATGGCCATCAAGTTGATTCGGACTCTCAGCAATCCTATAGGGCAGAGTAGGACTGCCCCTGCAGGTTCCTGAAGCTGTAAATCTTGATGGGAGTAGAAAGCCTCGTCTTTCTCCCGTGCAGCCACTAGTGGTTTTGAACTACTGACCTTGGAGTTAGCAGTCCAATATGTAACCCACTAAGCCACAAAGGCTTTCCTCCAAGGTGAGAGAGAAGGGCTCAAGTATACACGTCTTCAGCATTCATTCATGAAACTATGAGCACTAGAGAGTGGGCAATCAGAACCAGGGCCTGCTGGGATCCACCAAGCCCTTGGTGTTGGGGGGCTCTGGGGAAGGGGTCAGTAATACCATGTCTGGCTCCTCTCTTGGGCACACACACACTCAGGGCCTGCGTTCTTGGGAGACAGCCTTGGTGAGGCCGGCACAGCTCCGGCAACGTGAGCCGCTCTTTCTTTTCCAGAATGAAGTGATCAGCCAACAGCTCTGCGTCATCTTCACCCACTGCTACGGACCCTACCCCGTGCCCAAGCTCACGGAGATCAAGCGGAAACAGACCTCCCGCCTGGGTGAGTGGCACACCAGGCCCTGTCACCAGGTGACTGGAGGACGCTGCAGAAGAAGGGTGGGGAGAGGGGGCACTGGGGCAGAGGAGCGCTAGATCTTGGAGGCAGGCAGGTGGAGAGCCGACCTTCATGGCATGTGGGATCTGCTCAGCATGACCTTGGGCATGTGGAGAAGGAAGCCTGCTGATGCGCTCACGGCCATTGAGCCCATTCCAACTTCAAGTGACCCTGTAGGGCAGGGTCAAACTGCCCCTGTGGCTCTACAAACAGGTGACACTTAATGCAAGCGGAAAGCTTCATCTCTCTTGCGACAAGCAGCTGGTGGTTTCAAACTGCTAACCTTGTGATTCACAGCCAAGCATCTCACCCACTGCGCCCCCCAGGGCTCTATGTCAGGGCCCTAGGCACCTTTATTGTTTGCTGTGGTGGAACCAGCCCCCATCCTTGGCGACCCCAAGCACCACAGGTGGAAGCACCGCCGGGCTGTGCACCATCCCCAGGGTGGGCTGTGGGTTAGGCTATGGGGCTCCACAGCGTTCTCATGTGCGGCGTTTTGGAAGCAGGTCTTTCTCCCCAGGCTCCACTGAGACCTGCAGCATCATAGAAACCCCCACGCCGCCACTGACAGACGCGCAGTGGTGGCTGCCGTGGAGCGCGCTGGTCAGGAAGTGGTCGGGTACTGAGGGCAGGACAGGCACTGTGGGGGCGAGCTGGTGCCGAGGTGTCTGTGATAAAGCTTGGAGACCATGTGGGGTGAGCCGGGCTTAGAAGGGATGGGTAGAGAGTTCTAGTGGAAGGAACAGCATGTGTGGGTCTCAGAGGCGAGGGGACGGGAGGCATCCCTGGGGAGTTGGGAGTGACCACGGATGACTCGGCATTCTTTGTCACGGCGGTGTGACCCGGCACCGGCTGGGGAAGCCTCATTTCCAATGGTAACAAGGAAGACACAACTAGAAATTATGTCAGCATTTATTTATGGTGGCATCCTGGGTTATGCAGGGATTCCCCTGGTGGTTACCATTGGGCTGCCATTTGCAAGGTCAGCAGTTCGATACCACCAGTTGCTTCTTGGGAGAGAAAGGAGGCTTTCCACTTCTGTAAAGAATTTACAGTGTCAGAAACTCACAAGGACAGCTCTACCCTATCCTGTGCATTCTCTATGAGTGAGAGTGGGTTGTGCATTGGGCTGCTAACCTCAAGGTTGGTGGTTTGAAACCACCAGCTGCTCTGTGGGAGAAAGATGAGGCTTGCTACTCTTATGAAGAGTTACAGTCTCAGAAACCCACAGGGGCAGTTCTACTCTGTCCTCTAGGGTCACTGTGCATTCTCGAGATGGCAGTGAGAAGCAGTGGGGGCTTCAGACAGCAGGCATGCACCACAAGCAGCTTTCTTAAGGAGCCTGGACTCTCTCGCAG